GAAGTCCCTGGCCTTCCAAAGCAGAGTTAGTTCCCAACTCTTGAAATCAGGGAGATCCTTCTTGGGGAAAGTTCTCTGTAACGGTGGATGTCAGTGCAAGGCTTTGGGCACTGGGACTCCTGGGTTTCCCTGCCAGGAAAGAGAATTGAGCGGCCGGCTCTTGCCCTCTGGTTAGAGCTTGGGCTTCTCAGCCTAGCAGAGAGCTGCCCCGTAGCATTCCTCACCCCTATCCCCAGCCTCCTCAGTCAGGTCTATCCCAGGTCGAGGCAGCTGCTTCCTCTCAATAATTAACATAGGAATGTGTCCAGATTCTCCCCCACCCCCTGCCCAGAGTCCTTTCTACCCCACGGCAGAGCCAGCCTCTCTGTATGAGGGGCTGGCTCAGGGCAGGGCAGCCTGGCTCCCTCCTGGGCTTGCGGCTGGTCTGAACCAGACTGACTTCTGCCAGAATAGCCCCTTCCAGTCCCCACCCACCCAGCTGAGTGACCTTGGGCTCATTACACAACCTTTCTGGGCGGCGGTCAATTTGGAATCATCGGTCAGCCCTGGCCCTCCCTCCGTTCCAGGGACTTTCACTGAGTAAAAATAATAGGATCAGAGAGATTTAAGAGCCTGCTGGGACCTTCAAAGTCCACAGAGTTTATTATCACCTACTGTGTGCTAAGTGCTGGGGATATAAAGAAAGGCAAAAACAGCTCCCAGTCTACAGGGTCCTTAGAGGCGACTGCTCCAAGCCCCTCCTTTTACAGACTAGGAAATTCTTCACTAAAGACTAAACTGGGTCTTCAGCTGGTGGACTGGAGCTCCTCATTCATTCATTCGTTCATTCATTCTTTCAATATTTATCATGCTCCATCCACCCTCTGGCTAGGACCACGGGGAGCAGCCCAGGGAGCCCATCTCTGCCCCTTGGGACCCCCCTCCTGCTAAGCTCTGGAGACTTCTTGGAAGGAGGTGAACTTTGAATAAACTGAGGCTTAGCTTATAAGGGGGACTTGCCCCCAAGTTCACCAGCCTTTGATCCCAGACCTGGACCCTTCCAGTTCAGGGTGGCTGGGTTCAGGCCAGGGAGCTGCTCTGGAGTGGCCTGAGAGGGGAGTGTACCCTGCTGGGAGAAGCGATTCTTCTTCTCCAGCTCCTTGACTTTCTCTTTGCTGGGGGGAGGGAATGTGGGCGGGGCTGGGTGGAGGCTGGGGGAGCAGCTGTGGGGCGGGTCCTGAGGCTAACCCATCCCCCCACCTTCACTGTGGGCTGCTCCCTCTCCCCCGCGCCTGGGTAATCGCCGTTGTCATGGCAATGGTGGTGTTGCCAGGGCACCCGCCTCCCAGAGGGAGGCCCCCGGATAAATCACTGATCAGCAGCTTCCCTGGGGATGGGCAGGGTGGAGAGCTGGGGGACTGGGGAGCCTGGCAGGCTCTGAGGCTGGGGGTTGGACTCTTGGGAGCTGACCTAATCAGGATGGACTGCATGCCTGGTTGACTGTGAAGTTGGGGCCTGGACTTTGGGGACCTGGCCGACTCTGAAGTTGGGGGCTAGACCCTGGGGTCCTGGCTGGACCCAGCTTTGAGGCTGAGGGTCTTTTCCTGGCCCGTGGGCCCCACCTGCTCTGAAGGCCTTTATTACTCCAGTTTTGAGCTCAGCCCTCAGGTTTTCTCACCTTTTCACTGATCCTGTCATTCTTTCTTCTACTTGACCCCTCACTAAGCAGTTAACCAGAGAAACAGCTCATCCCTCCAAAGGAGTGGCTACTTGAAAATCTGGTGGAGCCTGACCTACTGGGGCAGTGGCTTCTCCACTCAGGTCAGCTCTTCCTTAAACAGCATTCTCCCTGGCCTTATTACCTACACTCCTAGACTCAGATCTGTAGAGCTGGGGGACCTAGAGAACATAGGGCAGAGCTGGGGGGGACACCTGGGAGCAGAGAAGGTCAGAGTTGGGGGGCCCTTGGACTAGAGAAGGTTGGATCTGGGAAAAGGCCCTTAGAACAGAGAAGGTCAGAGCTGGGAGGGCCGTTAGAACACAGGATAGCTGAGCTGGGAGGGCCCTTAGAACACAGGATAGCTGAGCTGGGAGGGCCCTTAGAACACAGGATAGCTGAGCTGGGAGGGCCCTTAGAACACAGGATAGCTGAGCTGAAAGGGCCCTTAGAACAGAGAAAGTCAGACCTGGGAGGGCCCTTGGAACACAGGATAGTTGAGCTGGGAGGGCCCTTAGAGCACAGGATAGCTGAGCTGGAGGGCCCTTAGAACACAGGATAGCTGAGCTGGGAGGGCCCTTAGAACACAGGATAGCTGAGCTGGGAGGGCCCTTAGAACAGAGAAGGCCAGAGCTGGGAGGGCCCTTATAGCACAGGATAGCTGAGCTGGGAGGGCCCTTAGAACAAAGAAGGGCAGACCGGGGGGGGGGGCCCTCAGAAAATAGAACTACAGATGTGGGAGGACCCTTAGAACCCCAGGATGTCAGAGCCCAGAGGGCCTTTAGAACATGTAATGTCAGAGGCCTTAGACATCACACACCAGGTAGGGGAATTGACTCACCCAAGGTCATACATTAAGTTAGGGAGAGAATCAAGGCTGGAGTCCAGGTGCCCTGGATCCCAGGTTCAGAGTGTCTCAGAGACTGAGGCTCAGGTTGGGGTATGAGGATGTCTTGCTCGGGTATCTTGGGCTATGGAGCTCATTCCCTTGCTGGTGACTCAGTGGGTGACTCTGGTGGTCAGTTGGTGTCCCAGAACTGACTGAAGGAAACTTGAGATTAAGTTGCGTGGGGCTACCAACTAGAGAGTACAGTCAGGTCAGAAGAGGAACCGGGAATCCCTGGTGTCTAGCCAGCTTGTTGAAGCGGCTATGTGGGGCAGTGGGTAGAGTGCTGAACCTGGAGTCAGGAGGACCTGAGTTCAAATCCAGCCTCAGACTGTGTGATCTTGGGCAAGTCACTTCACTTCTGTCTGCCTCCATTTTCTCAACTGTAAAATGGGGGAGAACAGCATCTCCCTCCCTGGGTTGTTGTAAGGATCAAATGAAATACTATTTATGAGGTGAGTAATATAGTGTCTGGCAATAGTAGATGCTGTACAAATGCTTGTTCCCTTCTCTCTTCACTGTGAATACGTCTCCCTTTGGGGCTCCTCCTTACAGAGGACCCAGCCCCGGGGATAGTCTAGCTCTTCCTAACCTCAGGATTTCTGCTGCTGGGTCTGTTTTCCTTTCCATGTAATGGAAAGAGAATTTAGAGGGTGTTTGAATGGGACCAACCGTCAGCCTCTAATTATGTAGGTCTTGGCCTTGTTGGGGGCATATGGGGAGACACAGCTATATTCACTTAGTTCAACCTGGACAGGTTTCTGGTGTTTAAATAGGAACTTTTACTTGGAAATTGAAAGCCATCAAAATGCAGAAGACCTGAAGAGGACAGGGTTTATCGATTTCTGATGGATGAGCAGGTTGTTAGGAGATCTGAGGTTCTCTGGACTTGGGGAACATAGATTTAGAGCCGGAAGGGATTATAGGAGGTCATCTGACCTCCTGGAGGGTCCTAGCTTTGCTTCTAAATTGATGCATGACTTTGGGCAAACTATTTCCCCTTTGTTTCCCTGTCTTTAAAATGAGGGGGTAGCATTATTTGGTTTTTAAGGTCTTTCTGAGTCTCAGTTCCCCCATCTGTCATAATATGAATGATAATCCTTGTGACATTCCTCACCCCACAGGATTGGTTTGAGGGAACTGTCCTTTGCCACCTGGAAAGCTCTGCCAGTAATAGGAAAACTCAGGTCTTTGGGCTTTTAGCCTGGGCCTCTCCAGATTTTGGGGCCCCACTGGAGCTGAAAGAAGGGCAGATCACAGGATCCAGGGCATCAGGTCCAAATGACTCATTTTACAGTCAAGGAAACTGAGACCTAGAGAGAAGAGACTTGTCCAAGGTCATCATATCCCATCACCTTTGGAGCAAAGCAAGAGACTGTAAAATGATGAGGTTGGGTCAGATAACACCTGAGTTCTCTTCCAGCTCTGTGAAACCCAGGCCTTCTGACACCCAGGCTTTGACCCCGTGCTCTATGACCCTAAATACAGCATTTATTTGTTTTTGGTTTTGTTTTTTATTATGCCACACTGGATCTAGAGTTCTCTTCTCTTGTTCTAACCAAAGAACTGCCCCAGTGCTTCAATTTCTCACCTCTATCTCACGCCTGAGTCCAGGGGAGGTACAAATTTAGGGACAAATCTCTTCCTTGGAAGAGAAGCATTTGATAACCTCAGGCCCGACTGTAATTTCAGCTCCAAGGGCACCAGGGGCAGGGAGAGGTGGGAGGCAGTGGTGATCGTTTTGCTGTGGGAGTGGGGGGAGCAAGAATCAGGTGGTAGGGCAGTGCTGCCCTCTGTGCTGATGTGAGCCCTAGGACGGTCTGTCTGCCTGGGGTGGTCAGGGGACTAGACACAACACGGGAGGATTAGGGTCCCTGGCTCCTACCCAGAATTTCCCAGCCCAACCACTCAGCATTTCCCCTGCTCATCAGAAAGTCGCTCCCTGGGGGTGTTGCTGTTCTAAGCAGTCCTGGGCTTATTGGGGATTAATGTCTGAGGATCTCAAAGCACTTTGCAGATAGAGGAGGGCTCCAGCAGGGATGACTTGGTTCTGTTCTATTATGGGAAACGGAGGTATCCTCCTTATGTCAACCTTGGCTTCACTGCTGATGCTCTGCGTTCCTGTCTTAGGGGCAAGAGGAAGGCCAAAGGGGTGCGAGGAGGAGGTAAAGACTGGAAACTACCAAATCGGTCTGGGAGAGCTTCCTGGAGGAGGTAGCATTTGAAGGGAGAGGGGAAGCAAGTTGTGGGAGCAGCAGAGAGGTTAGGTCACCTTGGGGAACCTTGTGAACATCTTGGCCTTGTTCTGCTTGGTGACAGGGACACTCTGGTCTGCAGGAAGGAGAGAGGACCCCTGCCTTTGGGAAAGGGGGAAAGGGCCTATTTATGACTTCATGCTCCTTTTTTTTTTCTTAACAGAGTCTCTGTAGAGACCACCTTCCAACAGGAAAGGCTTCAGGCCATTGCGGTGAGTACCATGACGTCATTCCCCCTAATCTAACAGGGGCTTAATGAAGCTGGAATAAGCTGGAAGTGGGGGGTGTCTCACTTGTGAGAGAAACAAAAGAAAAATCATCTACATGTGTGACCTTAGTCAAGTCATTTAATTTCTCTGGGCTTCAGTTTCCCCATCTGTAAAATGGGGGGAGAGGGTTGGAATAGGTGATCCCTGAGGTCCTTCTACATCTATGATCCTATAATCCTTTGACCTCCTGGGGCCTTAGTTTCCTCATTTGTAAAAAGCCGGATCTCCTCGAGGCCAGGTCTCAGGACCGATGATGAGTTTCTCTCCACGTTTAGCTTCTAAGCTAATTCTAAGCTAATTCTGTCATCATGTCATCCGTTGATATTGGGCTCATCCTCAAAGCCTTTCCAGCCTGGGACAACCTGCCAGAGCTCAAGCTTCGTTGGCAAAAACTTCAGGAACTCAGGGTCACCTCCACACTGCAGGGATGCATTGGCGGAGAATTTTCATGTTGCAATAATAAAAATAATTCAATATTTGTTATTAGAATCTGTGATAAAAGTTAATTAATAGTAATGAGTATTGTACTTATGGACCTCTTTGCATTTTAGAAAACTTTCCCATCCATGACTCCATTTATTCCTGATGACAACAAGATGCAATATGGCATAGTTGATAGATGGCTAGCTTTGGGATCAGGACCTGTCTGTGACATATACAGGTTGTGTGACGCTGGGTCGGTCCCTTAACCTCAGTGCTCTCAGCAGCAGTCAAAAACTATCAGTGTTGGGGCAGCTAGGTGGCGCAGTGGCTAGAGCACTGGCCCTGAAGTCAGGAGGACCTGAGTTCAAATGTGGCCTCAGACCAAACACTTGACACTTACTAGCTGTGTGACCCTGGGCAAGTCACTTAACCCCAGTTGCCTAATAAATAAATAAATAAATAAAATCCCTCACAATTTAGGCAGATATTAGAAAAAAACTATCAGTGTGACTCCCTGTGTTGCTAGAGGAAGCTTCTCTTGGAAATTCCTTACCTGAATGAAATCACTGGTGTGGTTAAAAATGAAAAAGCCCTTTCCATGGCTGAGCAGTCATGGTGCAACTTGGACAATAGTCTAATGCAGAAGTGTTGGATTTAGAGTCAAGGAACCTGGTGGGTTTGAATCCTGGCTGGGCCACTTAGCAGCTATGTGACCTTGGATAAATCACCTTACCTCTGGGACTCACTTTCATCTCATGTTAAAATGATGGGGTTGGACGAAGTGATAACAGCTCTGAATCCAATGATAAATCTCTGATTTAGGCGCAGTGGAGAGAGTTCCAGCCTTGGAGTCAGGAAGACCTGAGTTCAAATCCTGCCTCAGACACTTGACACTTCCTAGTTGTGTGATCCTGGGCAAGTTACTTCACCCTGATTGCCTCACCAAAAAGGAAGGAAGGAAGGAAGGAAGGAAGGAAGGAAGGAAGGAAAGGAAAGAAAAAAAATCTCTGATTTAAAAGTGAGCCTCAGAGAGGGACAAGGACTTACCCAGGGTCAGGCAGTGAAGTAGTTGGACTAGACCAGGGGTGGGGAACCTTTGCCCTGAATCCAGTTTGGATTCAGTCAAAAGGCTGCACTTAGGGATTTAGAAGGTCACAGGTTCCCCAGCCCCTAGATGAAGACCTAGAGCACTGGCCTCCTGACTCCATCCATTTTCAAGTAGGCCACGTGCCATGCTGCCAAGACGCTGTCTTGTCTATGACTTGGGAGGCCAGAGGGACAATCTTAATTTTTTTAAATTTTTAGGCAATTGGGGTTAAGTGACTTGCCCAGGGTCACACAGCTAGTAAGTGTCAAGTGTTTGGTCTGAGGTCAGATTTGAACTCAGGTCCTCCTGACTTCAGGGCCAGTGCTCTATGCACTTTGCCACCTAGCTGCCCCCAAAGGGACAATCTTAGCTTTGCTTCATCCTCACCTTGTCAGTGGGATACCACCTCTTTCCTTCTCTGTACTCTATTTATAAAATGAGAGGATTGGGCACTACCGGCTTCCTTAATCGAGAGATGGTGGCCATACTGAGACGCATTTTAAAGATACTGACAATGTAGGTATTTGTTTTTTTGTTTTGCTTGACTATGCATATTGGTAATAAGAGTTTCAGTTTTCTTTTTTCTTTACAATGGGGATAGGAGTGAGGAGAGAAAACCGATTTTTTTTGCAAGTAAAAAAGTTAAATTTAAAATTTAAATTAAAAAAAAAAAGAGGGTTGGAATAGATGGCCTCTAAGGCCTTATTGACTCTGAGATTCTGACTGAATCTTTCCTAATGGGTGTGATTAAACCTGGAGTTTCAGAGAAGGTTCAGGTTCAAGATCCATTGGTAGATAATGACACCTGCTGGTGATTGGTGGTATTGCAACTCAGCTCTGCTAGCTCTCATCCTAGCCATGGATCCCTCTAAGTGAGGAGTTTTGAGATTCAAGGCATGTGGAAGAATAAGATGGTTGGAAGCCCTTTTTGGCGACTGACTCTCCCTTCACACCTGTCCCTTAGGAGAAGAGAAAGAGGCAAACGGAGATCGAGAATAAGCGGCGGCAGTTGGAAGATGACCGGAGGCAGGTGCAGCATTTAAAGGTACCTGTCCCTGTGGGTGACTGCGCCCGCAGCCTCCCCTTTAGTTAGGATCTGGAAGAAGGGCAGCAGTTTCCTTTAATATGGTCCATGGGAGATGCTCTCTGAAGGAGGAGACTAAGTAAGCTCTTAAATTTGGCTCTGCCTCTGGGTTCCAACCCCAACTCTGCCATTTGTCACCTGTGTGATCTGGGATCACTTAACCCTTCTCTGCCTCGGTTTCCTTATCTGTAAAATGAGGGAGTTTGACTGGATCTTTTAATGTTCCTTCCACCTCTAAATCTAAGATCCCCTTTCCCACCTTTGGTACGTACTGTGTGATCCTGGTCAAGTCACCTAACTTCTCTGTGCTCTAAGACTTATAAATTGCAGAGAAGGTACCAGCCTGCATTGACAAGGGAGGAAGGAGCTCCCTGGGAGTTCAGGGATTCAGCCCCTCTCCCTCTGATCCTATGAGTTGCTCAATGTTTAAGCCTGGGCTTTGTGGTGGGAGACATCACTACCCGCCCCCATCTGCCCTCCACAGTCCAAGGCCCTTCGGGAGCGATGGCTGCTGGAGGGGGCCCCCTCCACCGATTCCCAGGAGGATGAAGTGATGAAGAAGCAAATGCAGGAGGACGAGCAGAAGGTCAAACAGCTGGAGGATTCTATCCTGAGGTGGGGAGGCAGGGCTTCTGTCTGGTCAAGTCTTGGTGGTGGTGGGTGGTATGGAGGAGGGGCTGGGTCTGATCCCATCGCTGTCATTCAGGTGTAAGCATTTATTAAGCACCTGCTAGGTACCAGGTACTATGCTAAGCACTGAGAATACAAAGACAAAAATGAAACAGGCCCTGACCTCTGGGAGCTTATACTTGAATAGAGGACGATATGTGTACTCATGTACAAGTGTATGTAAAAATAAATGTGGCACTGGCTCTTGCCTTTGAGAAGTCCCTGGTCTGAGTGGGGAGATTAGGCCTTTGCCTCAGCTGCTGGGGCTAGCCAGGGGGATGGGCATCCGTCAGGTTGAGAGGTGCTGGGAATGCAATCCCAGGGGGGATTCCCTGGTTCCTGGCCCAGCCCAACATTAGCTGGTGGACTCACTCTCTCTCTACTCCACAGAAGCCAGAGACTGAGCCCAAGCCAAAAGCCTGGGGAGGGGGAGGGGATCAGGAAGAAGATTCACTTTCAGTCCTGGCTAGGACAAAGCCTCAGTCCAGCCGGGGGGGACATCCGGGCTGGGGCCTCAGATCCTGCTGGGAAGGGAGCCGCCATCTGCAGAGAAGGAGACGACTTCCCGTGGTTGTTTCCCTCCTCCCCCAGAATCCAGGCTGAGGACTTATTCCGTTCAAGCCCCTCATTTTACATTAGAGGGCAGCTGAGCCCTGGGAGGGAAGAGACAGTGAGTCAGGGCAGGGCCAGGCCTGGAACCCAGGTCTTCCCATATGACATTTGGACATGGTAACTTTTCACAGAGATATTTGTAAAGCACTTAACACAGTGCCTGGCACATAGGTTCTTATGTGCTCTTTTCCTTCCCTTCTCCCTCACTTGGCTCCATCAGAAGGGGACGGCTGGATGCTCCCCATGACTCCTGAAAACTAGCTGAATAGGAGCAGCTAGGTGGCGCAGTGGATGGAGCACCGTCACTTAACCCCAATTGCCTTTAAAAAAAAAAACTAAGGAAAAAAACCTAGCTGAATAGTGAGAATATGGAGGAGGAGGCCCCATGACACCCCCACAGTCCCAGACCCCTTCACCAAGGTTTTCAGCCTTTTGTATCCCTCTAACGAGTCTTTCCTAGGTCCAAGATGGGGCAGTGCCCACCTGTTCCTTACCTAGCTCTAGAGTGCTTTGAGATCCTCTGTAGTTCTGTGCCTGGCTGTGGGAAGGGTGTGGTCACCTGGGGGGGCTGAGGGACCTCTGGCTCAGGCCAGAAGGAAGCCACACCCCATGGGCTCACTACTTCACCCAAGCCAGCTGTGTTTGGCTTTTTGGGGGGGGGATGTTGGGGAAAGGGAGGGGTAGTGGACAGTGGGAAAACCTGGGTCCTGTGAGTTATTCTTTCCAGAGATTTATTGTGCTTGGGAAATGGGTGTCTATGGTCTGGTTAGCCCGTCACTCTAGGAGAAAGGGTGTGGTCATTGGCAGGTCTTTGGAACTCTTCTTTCTGCGGATTTCCCTGAGGTCCTCCTCCCTCTCCCCCCTCCGCAACTCTCCCTTTCCTAGCTCTAACCCTCCCCCCAGCCCCCTCCCTGCCCCCCCACCCCGGCAACTTTTATGTGGAAAGAGACTCAGGCTGGGCATCACAAGACCTAAGTTCTAATCCAGACTCCAGCTATGTGATCCTAGGGGAAGTGTCACTTCCTGTCTGACTTAGTTTCCATATCTATAAAATGAGAACTAGATGATCTCTGAGCATCCTCCCAGATCTTCAGTGACTGGTTAGGTAAAAGACAATTACTCTTATTTTGCTAATGAGCTAAGAGGTTAAATTATATACTCTATTACTCACAGATGTCAGAACTAGAGGAGTGCTTAGAGATCATCAATCCATTTTACTGATGGGGAAACTGAGGCCCTGAGAGGGGAAGGGACTTGCCCAAAGGCACCCAGTGAATCAGTGACCAAGTCTTCAGCAAGGATTCTGTCCTGCCCTAGGTTGGAGACTGAGCTAGAGATTCTGGAGACGGAGGACTCTGTCCCAGCTACCAGGGAGAATGTGGTGGTCCCGGCCCAGGTCCCAGCCCCAAGCCCTGTGAAGGAGGAGAGAAAGGAAGAGAAGATCCTTAATTCCCAGAAGGTGAGGTCCCTGCTGCAAGCTGGCTCTAGTGGGGTTAGAGACATTGACCGCCTCAAGGCACATCCAATCGAGGGGGAATCTTGAAGTTTTAAGATCTAGAGGGACTTGAAGAGGGGGAGAGTGTCAGTTTGGGAGGACTTCCTGGAGGGAGTGAATGGAACCAAGCTTTAGCATCCCTGTGTCCCTTTCCTTCTCCCTCCCAGTAGCAGCCGGATGTTGGCCATCCCAGGCAGTTTCCTCCCTAAGATGGCTCCATTGACCTCTGTCAGCCAGTCCAGGACACACCTGGCCTTCCTGGAACAAAGGCAGGGTCTCCTGGACCCTCTGCTCCTCCCTCTCCTTCCTCCCCTGGCCTCCCATCTCTTCCCCTTGGGATCCTGTTCCCAGGAGCCTGGCCCTACCTCAACACCCTCCGTGACTAAACCCACTTTTTGTGGGCCCTCTACCACCTGATCCACTGGGATCCAGAACATCAGGGCCCAAAGGGGCTTTGGAGATTGGCTCCATTTTAGAGGTGGAGGAAGAAGCTCAGTGAGGGACAGAGGCTTCTCCTAAGTTATGTTGAGTTGATACTCTGCACCCCCTCCAGGTCCCCCTTGCAGGAGTGCATTGTAAATGTTTAACAACTAGTTCTCCAAGAGTTTAAAAAAATGTACGTAGGACATACTTTGACTTTTAGTCTTTTTAAACATTTTCTCCATGACTTTAAATCTCGACAGTCAATAAAACAATAAACTCACGTTTGCTGATTTCTGAGATGTAAATGCTCACGTTGGAAATCTAATAATTGGGTTTCCAATTTGTCCCTGGATTCCCCTCAATTTTTCTTTTTCTGGCTAATGCGGGGCACCTGTGCAGGTGGAGGGGAGGGGTTCTGGGTAATGGGGAAGACCCAGCCTGCCCGGGTTAGGTCTGTGGGAGGCTGGGGGACCAGGCCATTGGAACCTCAGGGTGACCTTTTCCCTGTTTTCACTTGCAGACCCCAGTGGCCTCACCCAGAGGTAAGTGCCAGGGTTACATTGAGAACATTTAGGTGGGGATGATGGTGGTGCCCTCTGGTGGTGAGAGGTGGGGATGTAGGAGAAACTGCTGGAGGGGTCCCTTTCTGGCTGCCCAAGCCTGGTTCCTTTGGAGAAACTCAGAATAGCAGATGGTGAAAACTAAAAGGTTGCTCAGAGATCCTCCTTAACCCCTTCATTTTTTCATATGGGGAAATAAAGAGCCAGGGAAGGAAAGTGAGAGCTGGTACTAGAACTCAGCCTCTTGACTCCCAGGCTCCCTAAATGTATTGCAGCTCAGGGTCTCTTCTCTCCTCCAGTCTTCCCACACCCCATTGCTTCTGTCCCTAAAAGAGTCGGCCTAGGTAGTGGAAAGAGCCCTGGGTGTGGGGTATGGAGACTGATCCAAGTCTGGTCTCTGTATGAATTTGGGGAAATGCTTTCCCTTCTCTGGGCCCTATCTGAAAATTGAAAATGATTCCTATGGCCTCTCCCAGCTCTAAACCCTAGGATAATATCTTTCTGAGCAAGTTCCTTGTGTCTGGGTCTCGGTTTCGGTTTGTGACATGGGATTTTTCATCTGGAGAATGTATTCTTGGGGCAGGGCTAGGTTCTGTCTCTCACTCATGTCCCCTGATTTTGCTTCTTCCTGAGCAGAGAAGAAAGTCACCAGCAGCCCCATGAAGGTGGTGGAAGGCACTGAGATGATGAAGGCAGGTGGGTGGTAAACCTCTTTCCCCCTTCTGCACCCCTAGGAGGCCTTTGGGCCAGCCCCTGCTGCCAGGGAAGGGTCCATTGTCCTCTAGAGCCACCTTCCTGTCTCACGCTCCATCGCTGTCTGTGACATTCAGCCAACTTTCAGTTATCTGGGAGTATGGATTATCTAGGCAGAAGATGACATGCTAACTAGCCTGTTATGGCCTAATGAAACCATCCCATTGTGGCAGTAATACTGGAGTAGGGGATGGCGTTTTAGATTATTGGTGATTTTTCATCATCTGGGGTTAGTAGGGGCTGGGGGCTGCTGAGAGCTGGCTGGGGGCCTAGCCCATATCTGGGCTGGAAGGACTTTGCTCTGAAAGCCTGGTCTAGAGTTCTCGGAGGACTCCTCAGGTCACACTACTGCAACAGAATGTCCAGACTGAGGCCTTCCCAGGTCCCTCTGCTCAGGGCCCTGGGTCTCTCCACATGGGAGACTCTGTCTGCCACTCTCACGGGCTGGCCCGTCTGCTTTGGCTGCCCCTCCAACGCCACCCTCCCCTCCTTAGAGGAGTGGGCTCTCACTCGCATGGTGGCCCTAACCCAACTCTGCCTCGCTGCTTCTGGGTCCCGAGTGCCTGCAGCTGTCTGGATCATTCGCTTCCCCTCCTGCCTGTGACACTCTCACCCCTGCAGGCCCCAGCCCTGTGTGGCCTGATCTCAGGGGAACCAGTTCATTCTTCCAGCAGAGGGAACATTGAAGACAGCAGGGTGCAGGAGGAGTGAGTTTTCTGAGCCCCAGGTCCTGGGGTGACAGCAGACATTTGCGGGCAAGCTGGGGGAGTTCCTGTTAACACAGCATGCGATCCATCCTGTGTGGGTTCTGAAGAAGGGAGAGTTGGCACCCAATTGAGAAGAGTATAAGTGTTTGGAGGCCAGACTATGCTGTGAGCCTTTCATGTAGGAAACTCACTTGGCCAGAGCAGAAGAGTCACCTTGGAAAGGGGAGAAGGCAAGGCTATAGAGGGAGTGTCTCCATTGTTAGCCTTAGGAGTGGAGACTGGCTATAAACCATTGGTGCATAACTCTTGAGGTACAAAGGATCTCAATTGGCCAGAAGAGTGGACTAGATATAATAAGATAGAATGTAATAAGAATAAATAATAAGTCCTACATTTGTGTTTAAAAGAAAAAATAACTGCCTAAGTGATTGGCGGAGGCATGACTAGGCATAGTAATTCCTAGGAGAATTCCGGCGGGCCAGTGAACAGCATAGTGCAACAGTAGTGTGATGGGGCCCCCAAGAAGGCCAGAGCCTGGTAGGTGATAACCCCGTTCTCCTCTTCCCTGGTCAGACAGCCAAGAGCTCTGGGTTTAGCTGTAAGACTTTATCTTAGCACCTCATTAGACTGTAAGCTCCTTATGGGCAGAGACTCTTTCACCTCTTACTACAGTTCCTGGCACATAGTAAGTCTTAATAAATACTGATTGATTGATCAATGGATTGATGTGTTAGGAAGGACATTACTAAACAGAAGAGGGTGATCTGGATGATTGGGGGCAAGGGAAATGTTGGAAGAGGATTGGGTGAAGGAGTTGGGAATCATTAGCCTGAGGAAAAGACTATGAGTGGTGGGCATTGGAGAAGTGACAGCTGTCTTGGAGTCTTTGAGAGGCCATCATATGGAAAAGGGCTTAGAATTGTTCTGCTTGGCCCAGAGGCCAGAACTAAAAGCAGATGTCAAGGCTAGTCATGCACCCACATCTCCCTTACTCTGAAGCCAGGCCCATATTACTCTCATATATCATATAATCTTCGTATTTAAGGGTGAATGGGATGTAAAGACCATTTAGGGTAACAGATAGAGGAACTGGGGTTCAGTAAGGGGAAGTGACCCAAGGTCACACCAATTGGACTGTTAAGATTCAAACCCATGTCTTCTCACTCCAAATCCAGTCCGCAGCATGGCCTGTGTTGAAGAAGGGGCAGCAGCTGGAAGGGAATCTGAAGGCCCGACACCTTGTTGGGGGAAACTGAGACTCAGAGAGGGGAGGGATTTGCCTGAGGTCACCCAGCTGAGCCAGGATTTCTAGCCCGGGTTGGCGACTCCTAGCTCCTTCCTGTGCAGTGGAGCGTTGCCCTGTGCGGCCAGCGCACTGTTGCCTCTGCTTGACCCTCTCTTTTCTGCTCACCTGCTCACCTGCCCACCTGCCTTGCTCTTTTGCTCGCTTCTGCTTGGCCCAAGGTCGGGGCTGGGGCCTGGGATGCTCGTGTGGTAATTCCTGTCCCCCTTTATGTCTCAGCCATGTACTCTGTGGAGATAACCGTGGAGAAGGATAGGGTGACTGGGGAGACGAAGGTTCTGTCCAGCACCACCCTGCCCCCTCAGGAGCCCTTTCTGCAGGGGGTGAAGGTGTATGAGGACGAGATGAAAGGTAGGCCGCCAGCCTCCCTCGGGATGAGGCCCTGATGCAGCCTGGAGGAGCGAGGACCCAGCCCTCCAGGGGCGGAGGATCCCCTACACCTGGGGGTTCTTCTCTCAGCAGCCCCTGACAACCTGTCTTGGTTCACAGTCTACACAGCCTGGGATTGAAATCTCCAAGTCCAGGACACCTAGCTGAAGGGCACTGGTGCCCTGGGAGTGTTAGTGACCAAAGAATATTAGAACTAGGAGGCACCTCAGAGCATACGGTCCATTAACCTCCTATTTTATATTGGGGGATATGAGGCCCAGAGAGTGGAACCATCTTGGCCAAGGGCACACAGCTCATGGGCTCCCTTCTGATGCTTCTCTTGAAGGAGGCTTCTGGATTCCCCCCTCCCCCCTCTACTTCCACCGGAGGGCCCTCCCACCAATAATCTGGACACTGTTCCTAGGGGATTCAGAGCCAGCCAAACTGGACCCAGGTTGCTTGGTGACAGAAAGGTGATCCGTCTCCATGGCAGCCGTGGGCTGGCAGGATCCCTGACCCTACTGCAGCCTCTTGGCAGCCTGAGTGTCTCTTCACCCACTCCTGCCTGGTGCCCTGGCCTCACCCTCACCCCATGCCAGCCCAGTGCCCAGATTGGGTGGAGCAATGGTGCCACCCAGTGGTCAGAGCAGCAGCTACCCCTCCCCCTGGCCTGGCCCTGCCTGGTTCTATTCAGAGGAGGCTCAGGCTGGGGGCCCCCCATCAGGACCTCGCTCCCAGGCTGCTGATGCTGCAGGAACTCGACACTGTCTGTCCATGAGCCGAGAAAGAACACGGGGCTAGATGCCAGGGAGATTCCACCCCAGCTGCCCTACTGAACTGGCTGTCTGACTTTGGGGATGTCACCTGCCTCCTCTATACCTCTCTTATCTGTAAAAAGGGGCCATGGCCAGAGAGTTGTGGTGAAAGTGATTTTAAATTCTGAGGTCAAAGTTCTCAAAAAGATTCCTTAGCTTCCAAGCCTTTGGGGCTTTCCAGTTCTTTAGGGGATCTTGTTCACAGTTGAGGGGAGACGGGTGTTAGAATCAAAGCAAGGACCCTTGGGTTCAACTTGCTCATTTTACATTGTGGAAAGTGATGCCTAGAGGAGGGATGGGTCTTGTGCAAGGACCCAAGGCAGGAAAAAGGAGGAGTATCCAAATTAGAGTTTTGTCCACCCTTCAGGTACCTCTCTGTTCCCCAGAGTCACCCTTACCGGCCACCGCAGAGAGAAGAGCATCATTCCTCCCAGGTCCAGTTACTTAGCGTAGGAGGGAAAGAAGTAGTTCTCTCAAGTATGAGGTCAAAGCTCTTGGCCTCCACAGAGTGACCCTTACTGATTACATTAAGAGGGAGAGATGTAATGGTCCTAGATCCAAGTTCAGCTCTTGAGCCCCGAGGGTCACCTTTGCCTATTACCATAGGGCAGAATCAGTATTCCCGGCTCAAACACTGGCTGCAGCTCTGTTCAGCCCTCCTTCCCAAGATCACTCAGTCTCACAGTCTCGTATCTTGTCTCTCCCCTTCCTTTTTTCCTTCTTGCCCCCCACAGTGGTTCACGCAGTGGACGGCACCACGGAGAATGGCGTCCACCAGTTGAGCTCCTCAGAGGTGGACGAGCTGATCCATAAAGCAGATGAGGTGACGCTGAGCGAGGTGACGGTGACAGCAGCTTCCGAAGCCCGGGGGACGCCCGAGGTGGCCAGGTCCACCCCCCGGCGGGAGATCACCGGAGTACAGGCACAGCCGGGGGAGGCCTCGGGCACCGAGGCCAGCCAGGAGCAGCCAGTCACCATGATCTTCATGGGCTACCAGAATGTGGAGGACGAGGCCGAGACCAAGAAAGTCCTGGGCTTACAGGATACCATCAAGGCTGAGCTGGTGGTGATCGAGGACCCGGCCCCGCCCAACGGGAGCGCCCAGGAGCCATCGGCCGCTGCGGTCACCGCTGCCCCAGACGGCAAGGAAGAGAACCAGGTTGGGGAGAAGCCAGATCTCCAGAGCCCTCCAGTAGACGTCACAGCCAGCGCAGACAAAGACCTGGATATGAAGAAACATCGTTGTCGATGCTGTTCTGTAATGTGAGGCCCCCAGGACCCGTTGTCCCCTGGCCCTGACACCGCCTTCGAGCCACTCTGTGCCGTGCCCATGCTGGCCATACTGCCAAGGCCCAGCGTCTTCACACACACACACACACACACACACGCCAGATTTTATTGACATGAAAATCCCTTTATGAAACAGAAAATCAGACCTTATACCTGTTTCTCTTGCAACCCTTAACGTACTCCTAACAACACCCACACACCCATACTCAGAAATAAACACACTTGCACCCATGTGCATACACAGAGACACATCCAGATCGATGATGCCCAGTCACCCAGACACAACTCAGAATGATGATGCACACTGTTCCAGAAACACACATGATATTTGGTGACACTGAGAAATATTGTATGCAGGGACCCAGGACCAGATTACACAGACCTACAACACACACACACACACAGGGAAGCACTCCAGATACACAGTCAGACAAGTGCATCCATACGGACACACGGACATTCAGATAGACAGAGATATCAATCCAAGCGACACATACCCAACCTAGCCGCCGTCCCCTAAACTCATTTGCAAACACACAGATGTACTCTTCCCTCCCTCCCCCCCTTCTTAAACAAGAACGAGGACTGTGCGGTTTGTAAAGGGTTCACAACCCTGCCTTGCTGATGGAGCAGCAGCGGCGGCCCTCCCGAGTCCCTGCCTCCAGCCTGTGCCCGCTTCCCACGCCAGCGGGGGGGTGGGGTGGGGAATGTGAGCCTGCAGAAGGAGTCAACGACAAAGTCTCCTTTTCTGTCCTGAAGTGTGGTCCAGTCGAGTGAGCGCTGGATTCAGAGGCAGAGGGCCTGGGTTCACAGCCCAGCTCTGCTACTTATTCTCTGTGACCTTGGGCAGGTCACTTCTCTTGGCCTCAGTTTCCTCATCTGTAAAATGAGGGTGTTGGATAAGATGGCCTTGAAGGTCCCTTCCGGCTCTAGATCTTTGGTCCTGTCCTTTGAAGAGGATGGATGGGTTGAGTTTCTGGCCCTGTTCTCCCACCTGTCTTTGGGAGGTGAGGGATGTCATTGAAGTATTGAACTGGATCCAAGTGGTGGTCCCTGTCCTCCTGGGGATGAGTAAACCCTGTTGGGATTTTGTACCTCCCTGGCTCTGTGCCTGTGAATGGATTAAGAACTTCCCAGTGTGGGTGTTTTCTCCCAGGGTCCCCCAGCTCTCCCTAGGAGCTAGTTGTTTTTGGCCCTGCTTATTTGTGATGACTCAGGGAGGGCTGTGGGAAAGCAGAACTTTCCTCCTTTCTGGCGCTTGTGAACCTCTAACCCTCTGAGAAGAGGGAGGTTGGGATGGAGAACCAGAATTGGATATATGAGACTGTGTGGATGAGGCCTCAGCTCCAGGGTGGGGGTGGAGGGGAAGACAGTTCTTCCCTGGACACACTCCTGGCATGGATGATGGGCTTTGGTTCAGTGAAAACTGGGGCTCCTTTCCTTGCCCTCAGCAGAAGGACTCCCAAAGCCCTTGCTGTCTTGAGTTTTGCTTGGTGAACTTTTGCTCTAGAATGTAGGGACATTGTTGGAGATGCTGCTCTGAACTCTGAGGCCTTCGTCAGGTACAGAGGCCAGGTCTAGAACCTGCTGGTGAGTCTAGACCTCCATGTTCCATTTCCCAAAGTGGGGACAAGACCTAAGCCTCCCAGGGCTAGGCTATTGAGATGGTCAGTCTGGACCAAACTTGCCCTCAAATGCTAGCTTCCCCCTGGGACCAGATTAGGGTGAGCCAGATGCAGTCGGGACATGGGGTGGCAAGGGGCAAGGCCCTCTTCCCACCTGTGGGCAGCAGGTGCCCCTACAGAATCACAGCAGTGGCCCTTGGAGACCTTGGAACCCCTTGCTTTACAGAGGGGAATGCAGTTGCAGAAAGGTCGGGTGACTTCCCCACCAGAGGCACTCAACCTCGCCCAAGGTAGACCCAAGGCCGTCTGTTGCTGTGGGTAACCCTAGCATGCTTCCTCCTAGCTGATCGTGCTCTCTCCCCACCTTGATCCCCTGGGCCTTCTCCATCTGGTGCTTCTCTCTTTGGCTGAGCCAGGCCCAGGGTAGGAGGGGACTTGATTTGGAGCTGCCAAGAGACTCCTCTTTCCCTCTCCTATGCCAACTTCTCCTGTCTGCTTTGCTGGCCAGTTTGGGCTTGGTGGGGAAGAAAAGGATACACCCTTGCCTCTAGCCCAGGATGGTCTAGAAAGACCCAAAGTCTTGGAGCTGGGTCCGGGGCCCAGGCCCAGCTGTGGGAGCTGGGCTCTTTGTGAGCCCCTCCCCCTGGAGTAGCCTGGCCCACTTTCATGTCCTTGCTGAAGTGAGGCCGGCTCTCCCTGGCTTGCTTCTGGATCAGGGTTTGGTTTATGAAGGCCAGTCTAGGCTGGCCTGTGGTCATTCTTTTAGTGGACCAAGGAGTTTGGGGACAAAGACTCCCTCCCTGCCCTTGTGATTGCTCAAGTTAATCACTACCAGGAAGAGCACTTCTTTCACACCCATGACCCCATGGTCAAGTAGTTCCCATTTTGTGAATTCTAAAAGCTACAGGCCTACTGAGCTAGATGTCAGTGCCCAGGAAAATTTTATTCTAGGGAATTGGAAGTATTTAGAAATGGAAGTAAATGGTGATCACCAGGAGCCAGCATGAGTCCACTAAGATGAAGTCCTGCCAGCCTCTCCTTTCCTTTTTTGACAGGGTTATTGGGTCATGGAAGGTTAGAGGCCATCCTTAACCACCCTGCTTTTGGCAGTCCTAACTGGTGTCCCATGTGGTATGAATAGGGGTAACATAAGGATTTCAATGCTAGTGATATTTTTCCCTCCAAAATATTAAATATGAAATTATGTATGTACCCAGGATACTTGTGTGGCAGTTTTTCAGTATGAAAATAGATATGATTTCCTCTTATTTTGATCTAACATTTCCCTGACTGCTGCCACCCCTCCCCCTAATTCTGGATATATATGCTAGAAATATCCCCACCCCCAACTGCTTGGAGCCATTTCTTTAACCCAGAGTTGTCTGTGGGAATGATTTTGGGTGCCCTCTTCACACACATACAACGTATACACATACATGCACGTGTGCACACTCATGTCCCCAAATCTATGTTGGCTTTGAATTCCCAAGACCTCTCCCTGCCCCCAGCTCAGTGCCATGAGCCAGAGACCCTGTGGGCCATGTCTTGAAACAGACCCCTGGGGCCCAGTGGGGGTGGGCTCCCTCCAGGCAGGTCCCTGCCCTTGCCCCTGATATGGGAGGGGTACAGCATCCCCACAATGCCTTTCCACTACTCCATCTCAGCCCACAGACCAGAGCAGGGAGGAAAGGTGTGGGCACCTTCACACCTCCCTCCTTTGCCTATTCTGTCATTCCAGCTGATTCTCCCCCTCCCCAGGTCTGCCCCAACTCTGTGCCTCCCGTAAGTGTCCTTCCTTCTCTCTGCCCTCTTTCAGTGAAAAGGCCCTTATGAATTCTGCTCACTGTTTGTAAAGACAAAACCACCCCACAAAACTCTCCTTCCTCCCCCTTTGGAGATGCAAATAAACAGTGTGAACAGCTTGCCCCTACCAGCTTCCCTGATCTCTTTCTTGGGGAGGGTTAAAAATCTGGAGGAGCTTCCTGGAGGAGGCAGCACCCTGGGCAGCTGGCACCTGGGGCCCCATGCTGGTGGGTGTGTCCACATGAAGCCTGGGTGATTAAGTCATAAAAAGACGTGGCTGACGGCTATAGCTGCTGATGCAAGATCCATGGGGCCCTTTAGGCCCTACTAACTTCCAGGATCCCAAGGGGAAGTTTCTTCCAGGCCATTTTGGGGTCTCACTTTTCCAAGTGGGAGCTGGGTACAGGTATGGGGCTCCTAGAATGGCCCCAGCTTATGCCCAGTCTGGGAAGAGGTGAGTCTAGACCTGAGCCATGAATTCCAGCCCCACTTCCCCTGTGCAAAGCAAACCTTCACCTGAATTAGAAGGGCTGAGTATGGGGCCCAGGGTGAAGAGTCGGGGGCCTGGGAGGATTTGGCAGGGGGTCAGGGCGGGGCAGTGAGGTAGGGGTCGGGAGAAGAATAGGATCTTTCCTGATTTTTTTGTTAACTTTGCCTAAGTTATTCATCAATATTGTCTGGAGATTCCAGGTGGGGGACATTTTCTCCCTGGGGCTTCCCTGCCCCATCCATGGGCAGTGTCTGAGTTCCAGACGGGGTTCTGTCCTTGTCCCTTTCCCCCAGCTCCTTCCTTGTAGCTTTCTTGCCCAGGATTTACTCTCACCTGTTGCTATAGGGAAAGGAATGCCTCAGTTCCTGTTTTGAAGGAGAACGGTGCCGGTGGAGTTATATAGGGAAGAAAATGGGCAAGGGCCAAGCTGGTGGAGAAAATCTGGCCGAAAACATTTCTGAGGATCCCTCTAAGCAGCTGGCTTTTAGAGAAGGTGTCCTGGCCATGATGGAAGAGAAGATGGCAGAACCAAAGGGGGAGGGTCTTGGTTAGACTTGAGCTGGTGGGACTGGGGGCAGAGCTAAGGGCATTGGGTGAGGGAAGAGTGAATTGTACTGAGATTTAGGATTAAAGGGCCATAGATTTAAAGCTATGCAGGACCTTGGAGGTCAGCTGGTCCATCCACTTGGTTATCCAAATGAGGAAACAGGCCCAGAGTGGTGAGGTGGATGCCTGTTTGCAGAAGGGCTGGACAAAGTCAGCCTATCAGGTTCCTTCTTGCTTTGGGAATCTAGGCATCCCCTTGGGATCCGGTCCCTTTATTCTGGGTCTCCCCAGATTGTTTGGTCATTCCTCCCATCCTAGATCATTGGGATACTACACGTGGCATAAGGATCAAGGATTGGTGGTGATGGAAGGTGTTTGAGGAGGTAATACTGGATGTAGGAAAGAGCCCCCATTGGTGGGAGTCAGGAGTCCTGATCCAATAAGATAATTGTGAAGTGCTTAGCATAATGCCTGGCATATAGTAAGTGCTATGTAAATGTTCGCTATTGTTATTAGTGTCACATTTTTTTTTATAGCTTACAGAGCGACTTCTCAACACCTAAGTTTTCCTTATCTGTGAAATGAGGGTAACTGCACCTGTCCACAAACCAGAAACCAGTGGAAACATTTAAATATAAAGAACCAGAATGGGGAAGGAGTGGACAGTTCAGAAAGGGTTGGTCATGGAGAGTGCAAAGGGGGGATCTACTTCTCATTCCCTTCTTCCCTTGTGGGGATGTTGTGAAAAGACAATGAGAGAAGGTATGGAAAACAGACCCTGGATTCTTCTTTGTCCCCTTCCTCCAGACTGATCCCTGGGCCCTGGGTGCCCACTGGCCCTGACCTGATCTAGACCCAGCCCAAGCCGTTTCCCCTCAAAGTTGAGCTACCCCCGTCCGTGGCAGGTGCTCTGCACCATGATCAGGATCCAGGTAGGAGCCCCACTGTTTCCCCCCCCCATACCTTATTCACTACCATCCACCAGCCACAAAATCACGATCCCTTCTGCCGCCTGGATTCCTTGAACCCTACACTCCCCATGCTCAGACCTCTAGAAGTGGGAAGGCCTGTCTGTGCTGATCACTTGCTGAGTGACTACAATCCCTTCTTTTTGGACCTCCTTTATAAAATTAGAATAATTACACTTCCCTGTCCCCGAGTCTTCTTTCCCCCACCCCAGTGTTGGCTTCTAGGAGTCTCCAAAGTCAGCTGGAGTCCCTGTCCTCTCTGCTGGTCCAGGAGGGACCTGCAGGAATCCAGATGAGTGTCACAGACAGAGGGTTAGAGAGAAAGAAGGTGGCTTTGAGTGGGAAAGGAGGGACTCAGGTCCACAGAGGGGAAGGCAGGTCCACTGGATGGGTAGAGAGGCTTAGTCTGGAAGGAACATAATCTCTTTTCAAGTATCTAAGGAAACACTTGTAGGAAAGGCTCAGACTTGTTCTGTCTGGCCTCAGCAGACAAACTCATGAGAAATGGATAGAAGAGGAATATGTAGGCTCATAAGACAGAGCTTACAAAGAATTCGAGATATCCAAAAGTGGAATGGGGTGCCTCATGTGGTAGTGAGTTCCCCATCACTAGGGGTATTCAAGTAGAGGTTGCAGGGTCATTTGTCAGGGGTTTCAAGGGAATTCTGGTGCAGGGATCTAGGTCGGGATTCCATTGTTTAAGGTCCTCCTGGGTCTGTGATTCTGGGACTCAAAAGACCCTGGATTTTCGAGAGCTTTTGAGTCAGAGTTTCTTTGAGTAAATCCCCTTCTCTCTGGGTCCTCTACTTCCTCATCTATAAAATCAGGACGTTTTACTACATGATTTCTGAGACTCCTTCTAGCTCAGAATATGTGATCCCAGCAATTTCTAAGTATTATTCAGCCCCTGAGAGGCTATGAATAAACCCTGTTCTTCAAAGCTGGAGGCAGGAGAGAGGATAAAATCGCCTGGGGCCTACAGGGGCAAGGGCTGACCCCACAGGGCCCCAGCCGCTGGGAAGCCTTGGCATTGGGTATTCTGTCCGCCCCAGCCCTTGAATTCTGCCCACCTGAAGTAGGGGGGAAGATATCATCTTTCTGGCCCCTCCTGCCCAACGGGACCTGGACTTTGTTTCAGGAGCCCTTGAGGGGGGCAGGGCCAGGGAACCGGGGAACCAAGCTCCCAGGCCACACCTGCTCCCCTCCCTGGCAACCTGAGCAGCTGGGCGGGGCCCAGGGAGGTGGGTTGGGGCTGGGCCAAGTTGGGAGCGGTCATTTGGTCATTTCTGCCTAGGGAAGTTGAGCCAGCGGTGTCTTAGAAGCAGAAGGACCCAGCTCAGGGACGGTAAGTGAGTTTCTGAAGGGGAGAAGGGGGCCCTGGAGGAATGGGGCTATGGAGAGATGGAGGGGGTGGGGTGAGGTCTGCGTGATTGTTTCTGTGTGTGCCTGTGAGGGTGAGATCGTATGATTGTCTTTGTATGGCTAGTAGTATATAGATTTTCTTTGTGTGTTTCTGTGAGAGAATGTGTGTGTGTGTGTGTGTGTGTGTGTGCGCACTCGCGCGTACATCTTTGTGTACCTGAAGGGTTGGAGTTCGTGATTGCTAAATGTCCTTTCCAGTTCTAAACTTCCTAATTCTGTGCATGGAGTGAACCGGTTTTTCTGACTGTGAGTGTAAATGTGTTCCTTTGTGTGGGGGAGGGTGCATTTGGAGAGTGCATCTGCATAAACACATTTCTGAGTGTGAGATTGTATGGGAAGGGTGTAGAAGAAGACAGTACACTGTGTAAATAGGAGAGTTTGTATGGGGCTGTCCTTGGACGTGTAAGTGGGAGTACGTGATTCGTAAGGTCATAGACTTCCAAATGAAAAGGATATCAGGCATTGTCTAGCCCAACCCTTTTAATTCTACAGTTGAAGAAATTTAGTCCCAGCGTGGGGAAGGGGCTTGATCACAGAGGTAGTAAGTACCGGATGTGGGACTAGACCCCAGGTCATCTGATTTCTAAGTCCAGGGCTCTATCCACTGTACCATACTGTTCTGGCTGAGCATTTGTATGGTCTGGGCAGGATTTACATGTCTCTCCTCTGCCCCCCTGCCTCCTTCCCCATCAGGCTGTCCTGGAGTTGTCTGAGCTCTGAGGCCAGAAACTCCCTATCCACTTTACATGACGAAAAACTTCCCAACAGGGAGAAATATCTCAAAGTGGATCAGGCTGCTTCAAAATATGGAGTCCCCTTCACCAATGGCCTTCCATCAGATAGATCCTGGATGTCTGTTTAGTGGATAGGTTCTAGTGGAAAACCTCATGCAGATACAGGTTGACCCAGAAGGCCTCTGAGGGCCCTTCAGACTGTGGGATTTGCTGTGATAGGATACTGAATGTCTAAGCTGAAAGGATGTTTAGGACACAAAATAGCAGCGCTGAGAGTGTGACTTTAAAACACTGAATGTCAGAGCTGGGAGGAAGTTTAGAACATAGGCTACAAAATATTAGAGCTGTAAAGATCTCTCAAGACACAGAACACACAATGTCAGAGTTTAAAAAAAATCTAAAAACTCAAAAGACATTAAAACAAAGAAGACACAATGTAAGTGTTGAAAGGGACCTTAAAAGTCATCTAGTAGGATTTGCCCATTTAAAGATGAAGAAACTGAGACTTCCCTTTCACTGGGGGCCAGAAGGGGCAAAGGGTTCTTGGAATTCCTTCTTGTCTTCTGGGCAGTAGCTTATCAGCATAGCCCAGCTGCTCCTAAATCCATACTCATCCCCCCATACCCTTCATGCCCTCTCCTGGCCTCAGTCTTCACTAGTAAACATATAGGCCTGTAGGCAGGATCCCTCCTTGGACTTGGTGAGGTGAGCCAGGCAAGGCAGGGGGAGATGGTCCGTGAAATTTTGGCCAGATTTGTGAACTGGTACTCACTCTGGTTGAGCAGCAACCTCTGGTGGCTGGAATGATGTCTCCATAAATGCAGGGCCTTGTCCTTGAGAAACCAGGTTGGGGTTGCCAATCTGTTGTAAGCTTTAGCAAAAGGTAAAGGCCACAGTGAGTTATCCAAAGTCTTGCAGCTTAGAGAGAGAGAGAGAGAGAGAGAGAGAGAGAGAGAGAGAGAGGAGAGAGAGAGAGGAGAGAGAGAGATTCTGAGGGGCTTGGAGTCAAGACACAGTCAGGGTCAGGGCTAAGGACTGGTCTGGGGTTGGGACTGAGGTCTGGGGTTAATGTGATGAATCATAGCTTTTGGAACTAAAAAGAAATGTAGATTTTGTGGTACAATCCCTTCATTTTTAAAGGGTTTTATTTTTCCTTCCTCCCCCACAAATGGGGGAGGGGGATAAGGAGAAAATTAAATGCTTGTTCATTAAAAAAATTAAATTTTTAAAAAAGAGTGGACATGGGGCAGCTAAGTGGTGCAGTAGATGGAGTGCCGGCCCTAGAGTCAGAAAGACCTGAGTTCAAATTTGGCCTTAGACACATATTAGCTGTGTGACCCTGGGCAAGTCACTTAATCCTGTTTGCCTTAAAAAAAAAAAAAGAAAAAAGAGCAGGCATACAATCCCCTCATTTCAGAGAGAGAAAACTGAGATACTTTGAGATTGAAGGATTTGTCCAAAGTCATACAAGTAGATTTAGACTGAGAATTCAAACTAGGTTTTCTGATTTCAAATCCATTTTTCCCTTTTCTCTCTTCTCTGTCTCCCTCCCCGCAGTGTTCTTCTAATTTTTCTTTTTGAAAAATAAAGATTTTCTTGTTCACTGTTCTTTCAAAGATACCTCAGCAGGAGTCAGTAGAAGGAAGTATTGGTATCCTTTGGGGAGAAGGAAAATACTTAGTGAAAAAGAACGTTAGATTTTGTGTGTGGGGTGGTGGTGGAAAGCAGTCAGGGTTAAATGACTTGCCCAGGGTCACACAGCTAGTAAGTGTCTAAGGCCAGACTTGAACTCAGGTCCTCCTGACTCCAGGGCTGCTGTTCTATCCACTGCACCACCTAGCCCCCAAGAGCATCAGATGAACTCCATTCAAATCCCAGCGCTGTCACTGACTAGCTGTGCAATTAGACAAGTAAATTAACCTCTCTGGGCCTCATTCTCTTCCTTGATAAGCCTTCCTCCAAGTTCCATTCCGGCTTTCAATCTAGGGCCTCCTGGAAGAGGTGAAGCTTTTTTTTGTTTTTGTTTTCGATTTTGAAGAGGTGAAACTTAAAGCAGGTTTGGGAGGAGAGGAGGTCCTGGACTGACTAGGAAGACATTAGAGGATGAATTCCAATGGGCTGATCCCACATCCAAGGCCATTTAGTTTCCAAGATGAGTCTTTGGGTGGATCTCTAGTGTGTTTATTCTTCTTGGTTCCAAGGTTATGTCTTGGGGGGGGGCAGGGCGAGAGGTGGGAGGGAGAGGCCATGGCTATATAGAGTTTCTCTGGGTGGTGGCACTTGTTGGCATCCTGGTATGGCTTCCCAAGAGACCTTTGACCCTTCCTGGATGGTGGCCAGTTTCAAGGGAGAGATAAAGATTTGGAAATATGGCCCTTGGGCCATAAATACTTGTCAGACCCAGTATCAGTAAGAGAGGATCTAGGGCAACTAGGCCTTGACCTCACTCTCATTTAACAAGTAGTTCTTTCTAGAAAGGAGATGACTTGCCTTGAGAGGTGAGTTCTCCTTCCTTCAAGGTCTTCAGACAGAGGCTGTAAAACCATGTATTGGGTGTGTCCTAGCAGGGATTCCTTTGGTATTTAGGATTGGACAGAAGGGTGCTAGGGACCCTTTCTATTTTCAGATTCTGGGATTCTGGAACTTGCTGAATATTGCTTCCCACAAGGAAGGGCATGGTTCCACTCAGATCCCTGAGGGCAAGGGCCAAGGCTGATACCTGTGTCTCCTGCTCAGTGTAACCGAGCCCAGGCAAGGGCCAAGTACAGAGCAGGCATTAGTCCATCAACCCATCAATCCACAAGCATTTATTAAGTGACCGCTATGTGCCCTTCACTCTGCTAAAGTGCCAGGGATACAATGGCAAACGTGAAATAGTCCCTGCCTTCGAGGAGCTTACATTCTAACGGAGGGAGACAACATGTATACAGCAGTATATAGAGGTGGGTAGGTGGCGTGCAGTGGAGAGAGCGTCGGCCCTAGGGTCAGGAGGACCTCAGTTCAAATCTGGCCTCAGACGCTTGATGCTTCCTAGCTATTTGTCCCTGGGCAAGTCACTTACCCCCAATTTCCTCAGCAAAAAAAAACAAACAAACAAAAAGTATATATAAGTATATACAGTATAACATATATAACACATATATAATATCACACACACGTATATATCTCTCTCTATATATATTGAATAGAAAGGCATTTTAGGGGATGGATAGCACCATTGGTAACTGGGGGGCACAGTGGATAGAGTGCTGAGCCTGGAGTGGGGAAGACCTGAATTCAGATCCAACCCCAAGTACTTATTACTAGCTGTGTGACTATGGACAAGTCTCCTCAGCTGCAAAGTGGGGATCACAATAACACCTGCGCCTGAGGCTTGCTGTAAAGATAAATGAGATAATGTTTGTAGAGTGCTTAGCATAGTACCTAGCACATAGTAGGCTCTTAATAATGCTTGTTTCCTTCCTTCCTCCTTCTTTCCATCCTCCTTTCTTCCTCTTTTACCCCTTCCTTTCCTTCTTCCTCCTTCCTCCTTCTTTCCTCCTTCACTCCCTCCCTTCCTTCTTACCTCCTTCCTCTCTTCCTCCTTCTTTCTTTCTTCCTTGCTTCCTCCCTCCCTCCTTTCACTCCCTCCTTCCCTTCCCTCCTCCTCCTTCCTTATTCCCTCCCTCCCTCCTTCCCTTCTTTCTTCCTTCTTCTTTCCCCCTTCGTCCTTCCTTCTTCCTCCTTCCTCTCTTCCTCCTCTCCTCCTTCCTTCGCTCCTTCCCTCCCTTTCTACCTCCTTTCTTATTCCCTCTTTTTTTTTTTGTGAGGCAATCAGGGTTAAGTGATTTGCCCAGGGTCTCACACAGCTAGTAAGTGTTAAGTGTCTGAGGCTGGATTTGAACTCAGATCCCCTTGACTCCAAGGCCAGAGCTCTATTCACTGCACCACCTAGCTGCCCCTCTTTTCCCCTCTTTCCCTCCTTCCCTTCTTTCATCCTCCTTTTTTCCTTCCTTTCTTCCTTCCTTCCTGTTCTCCTCCCTCCTTTCTTTCCTGTAGACCAGGAAAAGGCTTGCCGTTGAAGGTGGGAGCTTGAGCCAGGTCTTGAAATAAGTCAGAGATGCCAAGAGACAGAGGAGAGAAGGAAGGGCACTGGGGACAGCCTGTACAAAGGCAGAGATATGGGGTGTTGTGTTCATTCAGGGTTTCC